CTTAAAAAAAGTCTTTGTCATGAATTATATTTAATGATACCAAGTCTGAAACCTAGTATGAAAAAGTTATGTTAATGAGAACTAAACTCAAGTCTCTCATTTAGAAAACAGATTTTTCTTTTAGGGTTGGGCACAGTGGCTCACGCCTGTAATCCCAGCAACTTTTAGCCATTTAATCCTGATGCCTGTAGGGTCTACTTACATTGATTGAATGGTAAACATTGTACATGAAAAACTATGGAAACTATGGATAATAATGTTACTATGTCCAGAAAGGATTGTTCTTATGGATAGTGTAGGGATAGTACATCTTGTAAAGGCTGTTCCATTTCTGATTTGCCCTTATCATGAAGGCATAGCCCTTCAGGGGTCTCAGTGGAAAGCCTGAAATTCATTTTTTTCCCCCTCCCAGCACTGTCAAACTACTGGATTTGTAGTTAGTTTTTTAGCCTTTTAGCTACTATTTTCTGCTTAGCGTCTCAGCTACACAGCTTAGGAATTGGCAACTGCCTTGAATGGAAAAGCTGTGGAGAATGTCGGGTTCATTATAGTATGATCTTGGCTCCTCAAATCTTAGCTGCTTTGGTTGTTCTCCAGTGCTTTCAAACAGTTGTTTTTTTTGTTTTGTATTAATATTTTAAATTTTATCCAACTAGGATGGTTAGTCTGATACAGGCAATATTTAGAATTGGGAGTTTCCAATTCCTATTTTCCATGATTATTTTTAGGACATTCTCAAAGCATGAAAAGATAGTCTTTATCTTTAATAAGTGTTAAGCCTGTCCTCTGTGTATTTTTGCTATGGCCGCCTAACATTAGCATGATACAAAATCTTTGTTTAAAGCAGGAAATAGAAGTAACATTTATTGAGTTCCAAAAACATGCAGGCCCTTAGTAAAGATTTTATCAATATTTTCAAGTCTAGTTGGAAAGATAGCACATTTTCAAAAGTGGTATCAAATGATTTATAATAATACTAAAGGAAGACAAGAACATTTGTTGTACACAGCTGTTCACTTAAACTCTAGAACAGCATATGTATAAGGAGATGATGTTTCCATTTCAACAGGTGAAGAAAACTGATCAGTTTAGAAAAATTTGAAAATATAGAATCACCTGCAATCTCCTTAGAGATAATTACTTAGAACATTTTTGGTCTAAGAACATTTCTAGTCTTTTTCCAGTGCATATAAGGTTTTTCAGATTAGCTGTTACGTGTAGTTGTAGCAATTCAGCTTCAATTTGTAACTTTATTTCTAATGTCTTTTACAATTAATTGAAATTGCTTTAGTTTACACTTTGAAACACTGATAAAATTTTAATAGTGCTGACATAAAGTTTTCTAAAATATATACAGCTGACTTCTTTTTAATAATCTAGTACAGTGGAGTATTATTTCTCAAGAATTATAATTTTATGTTATTGTGTTTTGGAAGCTGGTATAAATATTTTGCTGCTTTTTGTTAAGCTTCCTAATAATTTTTGTTTTTATTTTAAAGGCCAAACTGTTTTCAGATAGTAGTTCAGCACTTTAGCGAAGAACATTACATCTTTTACTTTGCGGGAGAAACTCCAGAACAAGCAGAGGTAAGAGTACTGTTTCTTCAACCACTGTAAACTTTTATGTTAGCCCATGTTTTCTTATTAACTGAAATAGAAAACGATTGCATTCAAGATAAAGTGATAGAAGCCCTGAAATCTAATCATCTCTTATTTTAAGGAAAGAGATTTCATATGTAAAAAGTTTTCTGAAAGAAATGCAGAAACAAACACAGTGAAGGGTTATTAGGAATGAAAACTCCATTTTAAATTGACCTTTAAATACTCTATGATGTTGAGTCCAACTGAGAATGCTCGTTTAAAATCCTCTCTGCATAAAGGCTGTAGATAATCTCAGTACAATCCAAAGGTAAACCAGTTAGTAACAGGCATTAATTATTCTTCTTCACTGGTTGAACTCCATGTCTGAAAATAAAAGTCAGTCAACACAAGGAAAGAGATTTTAGGAATCTATTCTCCAAGCCAAGTCTACATATAATGTCTACTTTAGATTAGCTATTGATCCATGTGCAGTGTCCTTCTTATAGCTTCTATTAAGTAATTTTGTGAAGAAATAATATTAAAGAAAAAAACTCTTTAAAAAATATTTTGCAGCAAACGGAGACGCCACCTCTATAACAAAAGTAAAAAATTAGCTGGGTGTTCTGGCTTATGCCTGTAGTCCCAGCCACTGGATAGAATGAGGCAGGAAGATTGCATTAGCACAGGAGTTTGAGTTACCGTGAGTAAGATTGAGACACTGTACCCCAGCCTAGGCAACAGACTGAGATACTGTCTCTTAAAATTTTTTTTTGCTTTCTTTGAACCCTAATACTTCTGGGGTATATGGTCGTATTTTACACAAATATGGCTAAATTTCGGCTTATACTCTAATGAAGGAACTTAAACGTGGTTAAGAAGTGAAAGTGGCTTTGTTGGAAATATAATTTGTCAACCCTATATATGAGGAAGATGCCCTTAAAACTGGATCCTAGCATGAGACTCACAGAATAAACTTGAATGAGCCACTGTGTTTTGTAGCTCGTAACTGAATGTCGTATTTCACATCTTTATAAAATATCTCATTTAAATGCTCATTTCACATGTAATGCACATAAAATTTTATGGCTATGTATCCCTAAGTTTTAGACGAGAAAGGTAGGGCTCAAAACATTTTGGTAACTTACATGATTTTTTTAAATGTTAGAAATTGAGTTAGAAATTTTAACTTCAGTATCCTATTTTCTAATCATTTTACCATCGTCCGTCTTTCTGAATAAAAATGTGTCACATACCATAGTGACATTTCAGCATGTTTTGCAGCCTTAGAATATATTTTAAATATATTTATACATAATATTTATATATTTCCATAAATGGTATTTCCAGTTTTTGTCGATTTGTTGGGCTGTGGGGGTCTCTGGTTATTCTCTTCTATTTCAAAAACCTATGGTAACTGATTTGGTTTTAATTTGCTGTAATATAAAGACTGTCTCTAAATATTGATAAAGTTCAGCTTCACTGAAATAGCCAACAAACTAAAGACATAACTGAATAAAGCAATAGAACACAGCTTTCCAGAAACACGTAAAAACCAAAGTGAATATTTAGATTTATTTTTAATAAACCTTAGTTCTCTTCTTTCCCCCAAAGCACTAAACATTTAAAAAATATGGCTGCAATTTGATTTGAATATTAGGCTAAAATGATTTTTAAAATCTAATGTTATATTTAAAAGCTTAAAAATAACCCAAATCCCCTTATACATTTCTGCCTGTATCATGGCCTAAAGTATAGATTAGCATGCTTGTCATGGGATCAGTCATAACGTTATCAGTTGGTTTTAGAATCAGCCCTCTCCCCTTCTCAAAAAATGTATCAAATTCCACCTAAGCTTGCCTCAAATGTAACAGCTTAATTATACTTGACAGTTAACTTCCCCAAGGTAGTATGTTTGGGAGAAACAGTTTCTTTCATGTAAATTTGATTTTTTGGCTAATTAATGGCCACTCGATTTGTTTAATACATAAATTCAAACAAAGATTTATACAGAATTACAACTGTTTTGGTTGTTTTATTGTTATTACTTTATTATTTATTATTTTATTATTGGTTATTGTTATAAAGTGCAATATAGTCCGAGAAACGAAAGGGCAGTCTAGAGAAGGAAGGAATTGTTGAATTTGAAAAAAAAAAACAAAAACAAAAAACCTAACTGATGATTTGGAAACCAAATAAACTAGTGTATATTTCTTTGAAATGCTTTTTTTCTTTGTAGGATTGGATGAAAGGTCTGCAGGCATTTTGCAATTTACGGAAAAGTAGTCCAGGGACATCCAATAAACGCCTTCGTCAGGTGAAGCTTAATTTTCTTTGATTTTTAATTGTCACATTTTGCTCTAACGCTTCGCTCTTTTTATTTTATTTTTATCTGAACTGTTTTGGACATCATATCTTAGGAGGGGTTAAGCCATGCTGCCACTTGCTTTAGTAGCAGGAAAATGTTACTTCTTTATGAAAGAGAATGTTCTTTCTTAGTCCAAAATGCCAAATGTTAAAAACATAAGAAAGATTATTCTTCCACTTTAAATAACAATACTAAACCAACACAGCAGAAACTGTTCTGTTGGGCACTTAATTTTCCTTTAAAAAATTATTTTGGCCTTTTTCAAAAAAGTAGAACATTGAAAAGATCATCAGATTTATAGCACAAATCTCAATAAACTTTTTTGGGATTTTCATTTTGAAGAACAGCTTCTAAAACCTACTGCTTAACTCTTAGGAAATATTTAATCTTATTTGCAACTGTAACATGCCCTATACTTGGAGTTGTGGAGAGTTAAGCTAGGCTTTCTCTTTTTTGCCTTTACAAGGGTAACTTTATAACCTCCATTTCTTGGCTTTTTTTCTTTATAGTAATCCCTATATAATTGGAAGAAGTTAGGCAAATTTTGACATTCTCGAGGTTTTAAAGAAAGTTGAGTACAATATTTACTGACCAAAGTGTCTCCTGTTCTCTTCATGTGAATATCTGATAAGCTGAGTGATTAACATACTGTTCTACTGGGAGTGGATAATGGTTGACATTTAGGTGACTAAATAGTCCCCGTAACCCAAAGTCTCGCTCTTCGCCAGGGAAATTTAAGTAGACACACAATCGCCATGTCTTCATAACATTGTAACATTTTGTAAGCTATCAAAAATCAGATTGGATTTTTGCAAATAAGAGCAAGTTGTATTTTGTATGAAACTTGAGCCATTAAACTGACATTTGCAGGTTTAACATAATCATAGCTAACATCTCAAACACTTTTTATGTATCAGTGGGCAGTGAGATTTAGTGATTTACATATACAGTTGGCCCTTTCTATTCATGGGTTCTGCATCACTGTAATCTACCAACCATGGGTCAAAACTATTCAGAAAAAAATACAATAAAAAGATACAGTATAACAACTATGTACATAGCATTCACATTGTATTAGGTATTACAAGTAATCTAGAGATGATTTACAGCATACAGGAGGGCATGCATAGATTTTATGCAGATACTACGTCATTTTCTATATGGAACTTGAGCATCTTGGGCTTAGTTATCTGCCAGGAGAGAGAGGTAGAGGGTCTTGAAATCAGTCCCCCACAGATAACTGAGGGATAACTAGTTTGTAATCCTTATTACAACCTGTAGTGTAGACTTTATACTTACATATTAGAAAGATGAGGCTTAGAGGGACAGATTTGTCCAAGGCCACACAAGTAGTATATGGCAAGAGAGAAAGAGGACCTGATACTAGAAGGTAGATGATCTAAGTTTTGGCATCCAAACTGACAAATAACTTAGTTTCTTTAGGTTTGTATCCTTTCCTGTAAAATAAGAAGGTAAAGTCAGTGTTCTAAAAGTGTTTAGCTGTGGAACTCTTCTATAGAAATAGAATCTTCCAGATAAATATTATATAACATACGGGATTTCGATTTGAGTAGTGACAGTTGTTTACTTATATTAGTAAAGAATTTTCTTAACTTCATTTTCTCTTTATCATTGTTTTATGGTAGAAAAGATGTATTTCATTATTTCTCCAAGTATATAGTGGGAGAAATAACTTGTAAAATAAAATTGCATTGTTTTATCTTTTTAGGTGGGAAGAATTATTTTAAATGTTTGAATGTTTTAAGTATGTCATATATAAAGGAAAAATATAACCAAAGCTCGTATTTTCTGAAAAAAGGGGAAAATAAATAATTATTTTTGGCTTTGTATCTTAGAGTAATTGCTTTTGAAATGTGCAATTCTAGAAATCTGGGGTAATTTTTTTTTTTTTTTTTTAGGTCAGCAGCCTTGTTTTACATATTGAAGAAGCCCATAAACTCCCAGTAAAACATTTTACTAATCCATATTGTAACATCTACCTGAATAGTGTCCAAGTAGCAAAAACTCATGCAAGGGAAGGGCAAAACCCAGTGTGGTCAGAAGAGTTTGTCTTTGAGTAAGTCTTATTTTATCATTACATTAATCATTTTCTTTTACCATATTGCATTTCTTTCTATTTTTTTTTGGTCTCTAAACCATCAGAACAAGGTACCATATTCAGGTGTCCTAATAGCTATATATATATTGTTTTTTCTGTTGTATTTGTTTACCTTTATTTGTGAAGTGCTATGCCCTTGGTTTTTCCACTTGGTTATTAACATGAATTATTAGCAAGTCAAAAAACTTTACTAATCCACACATACAAAATGTTTACTAGGGTGTTTACTAGGGTTTCCAGTACTTATTTGAATGAATTATTAGTTTAGGAGGTTAAAGATGGTAGGAAAAGTGTGTAATTTGCGTGTCTTCTGTATAACAAATAATAAAACACGTTGTGAATCTGGTTTTAGGTCTAGCACACTCTTTTTTTTTTTTTTTGGCAGAAATGGGGGTTTATTTGATACTAGAACTAAAGAAATAAGGTAGTTTGATGCCAGATCATTTTGTTAATTCTTTTTCTCCTTGCTCCTTTAGTGATCTTCCTCCTGACATCAATAGATTTGAAATAACTCTCAGTAATAAAACAAAGAAAAGCAAAGATCCTGATATCTGTAAGTTGATACAGAAACTTTCTAAAATAGAAAAAGCATGTTTTATATACTTTTAAAATTCACAATGAAATAGTCTTGAAATAGAAATTTTAAAAAAAATCAGAAATGCACGTAGTATAATTTGAGATAGTTTCTTTCTGCATTATTGTATTGATTATCTTAAAGTATTGATTATCAAGAACGAGTATACCTAAGAAAGAAAAAGACCAACACGGTTCAACCGTACATACTGTTAGGCAATTAAGATTAAAGTATCTAGCCACCCTCCTTTCTCCAATGAATAGGAAGAATAAGAAAATGATTACAGTGGTCTTTTTGTAGGGCTTGCCCTCATCCCTTCTTTCTACTTTTTAGGTTTTTCCGTTTTTTTCTTTTGAGATGGAGTCTTGCTCTTGTTGCTCAGGCTGGAGTGCAGTGGTGTGATCTTGGCTCACTGCAACCTCCACCTCGCAGGTTCAAGCGATTCTCCTGCCTCAGCCTCCTGAGTATCTGGGACTACAGGCGCCCACCACCATGCCTGGCTATGCCTGGCTAAGTTTTGTACTTTTTTTAAGTAGAGACGGGGGTTTCACCATTTTGGCCAGGCTGGTCTCGAACTCCTGACCTCAGGTGATCTGCCTGCCTCAGCCTCCCAAAGTGCTGGGATTACATTAGCATATTAGTAAAAAAGTATTCTATTTAAAAATTTCCCTTAAACTTGAATATATCATTTATTCACTTCTGGTAGTCAAAGGCTTCCAGTTCCTGTCCTCAGCAGCACAACTCCTTCCATACTGCTCTAAAGCAGTTGACAGTGGGATTTACCAGTTCACATCAGGGTGAATTAGGTTAATACCTTCTTAACACTCAGGCTTAGGGAAGGAAGTGATATGTATTAACAGACAGATTAAAGCCTGAATATTCCTCTATAAAATGTTTATTCTGTAATTTTTTGTAGTAATTTTAGTTTTCCATTACTTTTACGATAAAATCCAAACCCCACAGTAATGACACAGAAGGAAGGCCATACCTTATATTTTAAGTGCTCTCTTTTCTTTTTGCACTACTTTTCTTCTTAGCTACACTTCCAGATCTTGTCAGCTCAAGGGTTACCTGTTTAAAGTGAAGTTTTCACCTCCACAGGCTGAATTAGGTATTATTTAATCTGTACTCGAATAGCATTCACCACTGTTAACAGCACTTAATGCTGAAACATAATTGATTTCTTGCCTTATTGACTAAACTGACCTCTATGCAACTCAAAGACCACATCTCAATCATCTCTATACTCCCTACCTATCAGAGTTTAGTGCACAGTAGACATTCAGTAAATGAATGAAGCAATTAAATATTGAATTTGTGATGTTATTGAAAACTCCTTTAATGAAAAGCATTTAACACCATAGAGAAGACTGAACACCAGAAAAATTTACTTGCATGACTATCATGTTATCTTTTTAGACAATAATTGCTTGTTTTTCTTCCCAAGTATTTATGCGCTGCCAGTTGAGCCGATTACAGAAAGGGCATGCCACAGATGAATGGTTTCTGCTCAGCTCCCATATACCATTAAAAGGTATTGAACCAGGGTCCCTGCGTGTTCGAGCACGATACTCTATGGAAAAAATCATGCCAGAAGAAGAGTACAGTGAATTTAAAGAGGTATTAAGTTATTTATCAATCTTGTTTTTGTTGGAATTAACAGAAACATTTAACATTTAATAAAAAATCTATTAAGCTAAACATAGTAATTCATAGCTTAGTAGCACACTGACACCAGAGAAAGATTTAAAACCTTGTTTTATAGTGTGATTTTGGTAGAAATAGGTAGATTACGAATTCATTCTATTTTAAATAAATTTATTCAGTGGGTCATCATTTTAAATATAAGAACTTGTGAAAGAACATATTTCTTGTTAGTCTCATGGAGCATGCTTAATGCTATGTACTTTAAACAGTCTTTTAAAATGTCATTTTAGCTTATACTGCAAAAGGAACTTCATGTAGTCTATGCTTTATCACATGTATGTGGACAAGACCGAACACTATTGGCCAGCATCCTACTGAGGATTTTTCTTCACGAAAAGCTTGAATCGTTGTTGTTATGCACACTAAATGACAGAGAAATAAGCATGGAAGGTATAGTATGGCTATATTAGTGTGATACTTTAAGAAACTGGGTTTAGATTTTATATCAAGGATATATGGACTCTATCTCTGAATATACTAAATTGTTAAATTATATTGCAAGGTAAGTTATTCTGTTTTCCCTCATTAAAAATTGCAGTTGGGTATCAGTTCTGATTAGGTTGGTTACTATGGGGAGCTGATATTTCTAATGCAGAGTTTGGCAGATAAGTACTAGAAGCCACAAGAAAGTGGTATCTGTGTCTACATCAATGGCTCATAGTGCTTGATTGTCTGGCATATTTAATTGTATTCTCTTGTTTATTTATTTATTTATTTATTTTGAGATGGAGTCTCAGTTGCCCAGGCTGTAGTGCAGTGGTGCAATCTCAGCTCACTGCAACCTCCACCTCTCGGGTTCCAGCGATTCTCCTGCCTCAGCCTCCCGAGTAGCTGGGACTACGGGCACATGCCACCATACCTGGCTAATTTTTATTTTATTTTTTAGTAGAGACGGGGTTTCACCATGTTGGCCAGACTGGTCTTGAAATCCTGACCTCAGGTGATCCGCCTGCCTCGGCCTCCCAAAGTGCCAGGATTACAGGTCTTGTTTATTTATTCATTTCACAGAAGCTGGGTGTCAGTTGCATTTTATTTCTAACTTTTATAGATAGGTAGAGTTCCCAAGCTGCTGGACTCACAGTGCTTTTATGGCTTACAAAATAATCCACCGGCCCCCCCAACGCCCCCCCCGCCACCCAGCACTTTGATTCAGTAATAGTTCTTGCTTCTAGGTTCCCCAAATAAATAGTAAAGTTTAGAACTATTTCCTTGTCATCACAAAATATAGATTTGTCAAGGAATAGATAAAATGGTGGTCCTTATTTTACACTGAGTTTATCTTTTCTGTAGCATTTGTATTTCCTTAAAATTTTACTGAAACTCAGTAGACACGTTTTAAGCTAATAAATTAATCTAAACTGGGATTTAGTGTTATATCCTTAATTGTAAATAAACCCCAAAGTTTCAAAGCATGGGGTCAATGGGCAGGAAAGCTGATTTGTGGTCCTAATTTTGTCACTAGCTGTCTAACTGATCTTACATATAACAATTCTGAGACTTCATTTTTCCATATGAACATGGCAGTGTTAATCCCTTCTCCTGTTTATGATCTAATGAGGTAATACATATGAAAGTCTTACAGAGTTAAGTCTGTAGAAGCATAGGTTGTCACTGTAATTAGTACTTCAATGCTGCATGCAAAAAGTACGTTTAAGTGGTTATTCCTTTTGAGGTAAAATGAATTCACTTAACTTCCAATTTGGTCACATTAGGTCAGTCCTTTACAAATAATCTTCTAATGTAAATATTTGTGTAGATGAAGCCACTACCCTATTTCGAGCCACAACACTTGCAAGCACCTTGATGGAGCAGTATATGAAAGCCACTGCTACACAGTTTGTTCATCATGCTTTGAAAGACTCTATTTTAAAGATAATGGAAAGCAAGCAGTCTTGTGAGGTAAGAATTTAATGTTTTAGTAGGTAATAATTTGTAGCCAATTACATTTTAAGGAAAATATTAAATTTCTAAAATTATTCCTCATAGCAGTTATACCTGTCTCTAATACACTTATAAAAATGTTCTGCAAAATGGACTTTTTAAAAAAGATGTACTTTATTTTGGGATTAAAAACCATCAAGTTGCACCAGAAATTCAAGAAAATACTTTTATCATTTCATCTACTGCACTAGTAATCTATATACTACTTATAGAAAGCATGCATAACATACATTGAAGGTTTTGTTAGTGACTTATCATATGACCTGTGTAGCACTTCATTACATCTAGGTTTGTCCTTGAAGGTTTTTTTGCAAGAGGAGAATTTTGAGATAACCTTGACTAAAACAAAAACATCTTTTTAGGATTATTAAACCTTCAGTATAAATTCATAATCTATTAAGACAGGAAGTGGAATCTCACACATATATTCTCTCATTTTAATGGTAAAGCAGCTACAAAGAAATATATATTTTAGATCTGATACAAAAATCAGTTTAAGGAATTGTTTTCGACAGTGGACACTGGGACCTAGCAAATGTTAATCCTGCACGAAGGTGTCAATTCGTACTAATAACCTGAAGGGAAGAAATTAGTGATTTAATTTTGGAAATCTGGAGTAATGCCATAGTTGGCCCAGCGTAAGGATGACACAGAAGTGCAGCAGGTAGGTAGGGAGTCTCTGGACTTTAGAGATAGGCTGTGGAATTCGGACTTCTATAGATAAATGTACTCTGCTGACACTAGATCAGAAGGGTTATAGAAGTTCTGAGAAAGGTTTGTGATTCTGCCTAAGACATTTGATATTTTTATTAGCCATTAAATAAGCCTCATTCAGAAAGGGCTTTTAATCAGCTTTTTTTACCCTCAAATAAATAGAATTGACTAACCACTGTTTGCTTTTCAGTTGGGTAATTGGGAATAAATGGTAAGAAACCTACCAGAAGGAGTTCCATAGAGCAGACTACTTAAAAACTCCCATTTATACAAAGAAAAAAGATCAGTACACACAGAGATACTGAAAAATAGAGAACCTTGAAAACTACAACTACTTGTTTTCCTCAATTCATTTGCATTTGTCATTGCCAACAATGCATTTCTATTGATTTATTCCTTCTTTTAGTTAAGTCCATCAAAGTTAGAAAAAAATGAAGATGTGAACACTAATTTAGCACACCTATTGAACATACTTTCAGAGCTTGTGGAGAAAATATTCATGGCTTCAGAAATACTTCCACCGTAAGTGGTGAAATTTTCATTTGACAAGAAATTGTGTATCTATGTCTTGAGAAGTTTCTATTTCTAAAACATGTGAAAGCTTTTCTGTTGTCCTAATATTATTATACTCTGAAAAAGTCATGGTTAATCTTTATAAGATGAATTATATTTAAAGAAAATAACTGTCTTAATAAAACCACCCATTGTTTTTGTACAAGCCAATATGTCTGGTTTGTATAGTAGCTTGGGGAGTGAATAGAGGTTTACAGTTTCAGATTTGAGATTGTAAAAGATATCTTGTCTATCCATTTAGTCTATACTTGATAGATTAATCACTCTGTTAATATGCTTTTAGGCCTCCAGTATTAGTGAACTCACTTGTTTAGGTAGAAGTTAACCTAAGTCTAAATCTTTCTCCCCAGAGTTTGCAGCTGGTTAGTTCTCTGTATCCGAAAGTAAATGTCAGGAAGTTGACTGAATAAATTGATGATAAACTTAGTCGATAAAATTTTCCTTACCCCTTCTAAATGTCTCATTACCTGTGGCAAAATACTTTTTTGGGGGAGAAGGCCAGTTTTATTAAACTGTGGTATATTTGGGTAAATTAAGCTTTCGGCTGCTAGGAGATCAGTAGTTTCACTTGCTTTCTGTGTTGAGATGATTGTGTTATTTTGGCAGGACACTGAGATATATTTATGGGTGTTTACAGAAATCTGTTCAGCATAAATGGCCTACAAATACCACCATGAGAACAAGAGTTGTTAGGTAAGGCTCATCAATTCATTTGTTAAATCACAAACTGATAGATGGATAATTGTGAAAAATTGAAGAATAACAATATACAATTCAACGTTTTTCTTTGACTTTTATGTCAAAGCCCTGTTGCATATTTTCTAAGTCCAAATGGCTCCTAAACTTAAAGTTACTATGAGATTTAGCTACCGTTTGCATTTTCTAAAAACATGAACATTCATTTATAGTCAAGTATTAGGGATTTTTAAACCCTTACAGGATGAGGTTAAAAGTTATACGACCAAAATCTGTAGCTAACTTCATATAATATTCTTCATACATACACACACACATTGATTGGCACTAAAAGAGAAGAGCAGTAATTGACTGATTTAGATATTAATTGGTTTATTACAATCTGTGACTCTGAGCTAATCTGGAACCAGAACATGTGGTGCTGAAGCTGTGTTTCATTCTGCTCATTCTACCATAATTAGGAAGAACTGTTTTGGCAAACCATGGAATTTGGGAGCTTATATAAAGGGACTTCATTATCATTATTCTATAGGAAGAACTGTTTTGGCAAACCATGGAATTTGGGAGCTTATATAAAGGGACTTCATTATCATTATTCTATAGAAGAACTGTTTTGGCAAACCATGGAATTTGGGAGCTTATATAAAGGGGCTTCATTATCATTATTCTATAGGAAGAACTGCTTTGGCAAATCATGGAATTTGGGAGCTTATATAAGGTTACTTAATTATCATTATTCTAACTTACTTTCCAATGAAGAAGCAGATCTGTCTGGAGAGGTTAAGTTGTTGAACTAAGGTTATATAGAAAGCTGGTGGCTAAGGCACAACTAAAGGTAACTTTCTAAG